ATAAAAAAGATTATTTGTCAGTATTACCATATGTTTACTATTATTAGCAATTTATTATTTATTGTAATATTTATTAATATTTTAATAGTTAGTATTTATTTGATATTTGTGGCCTCAATGCAACAAGACCACGAGATTTCTTTCGTATTGCTACTACAAATTAATTCTTTTATACCTACTGCCTTTGTATAAAAAATTAAATTAATGCTCAAAACTCACTTTCATTAAATTTTTACGGGTCGTTTTATTATTCACTCTTTTTACCCATTTTATTCAGATATTTCTTTTTTTGGGACTGGATTAATAAATCGGAGGATTCCCAATCCTATCCACATGGAATTTTGTATAGAAGTTTTTATATTCTTGCTTCTTTTTTTCGTTTTTTAGTAAACGGGTCAACAGGATCACTCGTATGGGCCTGAAATACGAAAGTAATTTGTAGCCGATTTTTAGCTACACTCATCTGATCTTTCTCGAACACTATTGAGGGCCTTGACAACTTTCCCCATTCTTATTGGCTAATATTCTTTAAGGCCACTTTTACTTACATTGTCCATAACGTCTCTTCGCTATATATCTCACTGGATCCAATTCCTTAAGAGTAGTTTTGTTTTATCTCTATTTGAGGTGAAAACTACTTCAAGAAATAAATTTTGTCGCCATACTTACTCATCATGTTTTCTGCTAATCTTGCTTTTGCTATCCATATAAATTCCATCTATTGATTACGAAGCTAAATCTATTGTATTTGTTTGTTCCGTCAATCCTTAAATTCTTTTTTATTTATATATCCCTTCGTTGCATTTTGACAGCCTTATATTCGGCGGCTTTCCATACCATTCTCTACGGAACTGGCTAGTCTGGCTGGCCGGCACATTCACCTAGTTTGTTGTACTGTTCTCCGTTTCGCCATTTCCCTTCCACCTTTCATCAGTCATCAAACACCCCCCAGTTTAAACTCTGCGACTACTGCTGCAGATATTGAAATCGATGCTGACGCTACTACTTCTGGTCCATGCGAGAAACTTCCTTTAGCATGCCCCGAAGCCTCGCCGTTTGATCCCTGCACTGTCTCTTCTTTTTCTTCGGATTCCACATTATTTCCACCATCTGTCTCCGATAGTTACTCAGTCGTCTCTGGTGTTTCGAAGTCTTGTTGCACTGCTACGGAGCCTACGACACCATGGTTTGTCGTTAAATTCCTACCACAAACCTCTCGGCCATTCTTGCCTTCTTTTCTTGCATCAGAGTCTGGAAAGTTAGTCCGTTGTGATCGGAGACTGAACACAGAGACGCCGTGTTACCGTATGAGGACTCGAATTCTTGCTGATATTCTTCCAACCGTAATTCGACATCTTGATCAACTGGGCTACGTACAGGCTACGAACATTCTGATGTTTTCAGTAATTATTTATTCTCATAGCTTCTAAACGAATTCTTTTTTAATATAATTTGAACACCTTTTTCTTGTTTGATATAGTAATTGGCTAATAGCTAACTATATTATGCATTGCAAAAATACAGGTTTTAACGTGTGAAATGCGTTTATTATTTACAGTCTGATGGACGCAAACCCTTGGCTCTTACTCAACCTATCTCAAGCCTTGATGGTCAACGCATCCTTCTGTTTCAGCCTCAATTACCGTCTCGTAAGTCTTTAGTATCGTCTTTTGATCTTAAGCGGCGTCATATTTTTAATCCATTCTATGCATATTTATCGTATTTACTCTTAGAACAAACCAAAAATAATTTGAGCTAGAAAGGATTAATCATACGCAATGGTACCGATATTCAAAATTTTCCTTTATGGCTCAACGCTGAGATGACATTTATTCATTAAGCCAATGATTATCTCAATTATTTCTGCAAGAGATGAGCTTTTCATTATCGAGCGTACATCTTAACTCCTTCAAGTAGCTTATTTGATCTATACACGATGGGTATGTTATGATATGCAAAATTAATAAACTTTTATAGATTTATTTAGAGGCATACATTTTAGATTTATTAGATCCATTTTTTATTAAGCTCAAGAGGACCTCTTGGTTATTAACTTAAAAGTAATGCAACTCATGATCTTTTGTGCTGTTCATACTGCCAGACAATAAAAAATTAGAAATGTCAAAATGGAGTTAATCTTAATTTTGCAGTATTTATTGCTTAAAAGCATTTTCCTCTTTTTTTAAGAGCTAAGGCAAAATTTCATGGCTTTTTTTGGATGTTATTCTCTGTTTTACCTTTGGGTTACTTTTTTTATCGGCTTCGCTTGCCAAAAAGTCGGGATAAATGACAAACTTCGATCCTGAATCAACTGACATTACTAATTGAATTGTGTTTCTAGCCTAATTCTGTGTTTTGAATATACCATATAAAATCTATAAAAGGTGATTTAGTTTTTTTACATTTTTTCAATTATCCATATGAATGAAAAAGTGGCTAATTGAATTAATAACTGTGCTATCAAACAAATTTTCCATGATCTAAAGCACCTCGTCTTCAATGCTTGCTCGTTTTACTCCAATGGAGACATTTTTATGGACAAAATCAAGTGGGTCAAGGCTGTATTGAACAATACAAATATTGGGTCGGTGAACAACTTCTCTTTTAATAATCAAATATACATATTTATAATTACTACTCTAATTAGCTTTTCCCTTGTTACCAGGGGATATCTTTTTGACCAATATAGATATAATACTGCTTATCAGCCAACTGATTTTAAAAATATAACTCTGCTGTTACTTGGACGACGTGAGTTATTTATAGTCTCTAATTCTAGCAATACCATATGTGAGCTGAAGTTGT